ATCTCTCTCTCTTCAACAGACAATGTTGAGAGAGAAAAAAATCCAAAAAAAATCATTCTGTTTGAGAATTTGAGTTTGTTCAATATTTGCAATTCTTGCAGATTTTTGTATTTCTTTAGGTGCTATGTAAACTTTTTTCAAATATCGAACACAATCTAAATCTCTAAATATATCCGTTAAGAATATTTTTCCCCCATATTGACAGCTATTTGAAGTCAGAGTTTCATGCCTCGTTCACACGTACATTTAATTCGAATTGAATTCGAATCGAATGCGAATCGAATTCGCTAATCGCGTTCACACACTCTTCTTTTTTAATTCGAATTGATTTGAATTGGCTAAATCGCATTATCCAATTCGCATTAGAAATGCGTTTTTGTTAATACGAATTAAAAGTTAACGTCGTTCGGACAGTAAAGCGAACGCAATTGCAATTCGAATTAGAATTTACGTTTGGACGTAAAACGTTTCGAATGCGATTTAAACTAATTCGAATTAGTTGATGCGAATCGAATTCGAATTACGTGTGAACGCAGCATAATATAGGCGTGGCAATCCATCACTTTATCCAATCAACTGTCTTTTATGATAAAGATTGGCGTGCGATTGTTACAGTAGTTGAAACAATGTAATTTATATAAGACATTGTAATAGTTTTAGGACACAGTTACATCAACATCAAAAGGTAAATAATAAATGTACTTTATTGTAGAAGCTGTGGACTACTGGTTCAAAAATAAAATTGATTTCGACAAGTTGCTTTGTAACCACTTTCATGATGTTGGGTGTATAATAGATCATTTGGAAGCTTAAATCGTGTATTTTTTAAAAATATGTGTGAAAGCTGGTGCCATCATGCCTTAAATCAAGGTCAAAGGTCATCACTAAAAAACATCCTTTTTTCATCTAGAGAAACAAACCGCAGATCTTTTTCGAACTCAATAATCCATTCAATGAATTATACAAGTAGAGTTATTTGCCAATGCTAAAGTTCCGACTTAGATGTGTTTCATATTTGCATATGACGTCAGAATAACGCATTATTTAACTTTTTCGAAGGTAACATGTTTGGTGGAAATTTCAAAGCCTAACAACAACAGCAACAGAATTACCTTGATCTTCGACCTCGATAAATAACATTTCTGGACTATATATACATATTTGAGAATACTAGTAATAGGTATTAAAAGAGTATCCGAAATACATTGGTGGATAAATTACAACAGCATTTGCAGGTTAAATTTTTCAGTTTTCCAGGATTCGACATGTCACTGAGTTTTCTTGAAATAAATGCCACTGTAAGTCTCAATACACGATAATTGATCAGATGATAATATAAGAAGCGTGCGTTATCGAAGTAACAACTACGATTAACTTTCAGTCGACGCTACTGTAATGAATGCAAGCGAGTTTTATGACAAATTCCAAAAGTATGACATGACCGTTTTCAAATACAAAATGAAACATCGAAATAATTATGGAAAGTTGAAATTTACATACGAAATGAACGAGGAACATCCGTTTAAAAATATTTTCAATAAATAATGTTCATGATATTTCATCTGTGTCATCAGCTATGTCGGCTGATACGGCCTGGACATTGTTACAACTACCTACATTTTGACAAAACACAATTTGTGCAAGAAAGATTTAATGATTGATTGCTGGTTACTTAACGTTCAGTGGCAATTATTTCATGCATGTTCAGGACGAGAACACAGTAACAATAAATACAAAAGGTATGTTCTGTAACAGAGGCCGTCCGGAATGAAGGCTGAGCCTTTGGACTGCCACTAAATATGAGGGTATATTGGATAGGGACAAAACTTTTCCCTTGCAACAGGCCACCTACGACTCTTTTAACAAAAAATTAAACGACTAAAATTGATCGTAAGTTAATTAAATGTTCATGACTTATTTGTTCTCGTAATATCGTTTTAGAAATGAGTCGATCCTCCTTATAAACACATGCTGCCTCCACATTCTTTCCCCCTTCCGCGAACAAACAAGGTCTTGTAGATAGTCTGATGCCTTTTGTCTTCTAAAGGAAACTGTCATTTTGCTAAATTTTCCAACCAAACTTTCATGGGCTGCCATTATTTGGGTTGGCAACATAATTTTGCCTACACCAAAACTTTGCTTTGCCATATTGCACGTACAAATGTAGTACGTGTTGCTTAAACACTAACATGGTGAAAGCTTTTTTATACTTTTATCTTTGAATATAGCCAACTGTTATCCTAGCACATTTGAATTGTTATGCGGTTTATTGGACTTGTATTTTGAGTCGTACAACGCAGTAACAAACACCCTAGCATCATCTATAGCACCAGCAACATCATCGTGTGCTAATGCTACAAGATTACTGAATGGGATCGTTTTCGTCTTAAGAAGGTTGCATACCGATTTTTTACCGGTTCCTCAAAAACTTGAAGTGGAATCCCATCCACTCAAAGCACGAATGATTGCAGATTTTGGTGACAACTGGGGTCAAAAGACGATACAGTAGCGTGAACTGGGATAAATTGTCTGTTATCCTTCAAGCTTTCAATTGAACCAGTCTGCACCAATACTTCTTTTGTTATTTTAAGCATCAGGTATAAATGGACAGCCAGAACAAGAACATCAGTATCATCTGATTTTATAACAATTCTATCCTTACTGTCTTTACCACCAAAAAATTGCATCGACGTGATAAGCATGGAAAAGCGTGGTGGTATCTGCCTCTTCATGGTTACAACATAAAGTCGGAGAGATGATAACACCACCCTCTTTCAACTTTTGAGCAATTTCCGATTTTGCTTTGATGTTATTCGCGGCTTTAAAAGCGTCGCCTATAGAAATGTCGCTTGCAAATAAAATACTCGTCCTTGATCTTGTTGTAAATTTTTGTCTAGCGTTTCCCGTGTAAAACTGAAATATCTGAATATAGAAAAGGACAGTTATTACCGTTTATGTTTAATTTATTTAAAGTAAGTTTCTTTGGGTAAATTTCGGCAGTATATTTAGAAAATTCTTCATTATTTACAAAATGAAAAGCCATTCAAACGAGAGAAAATCCAACGGCATAATTTAAGATAAAGCAATAAACGGCCTAATTTATGATAAAGCAATAAACGGAAAGCAAATTTGTCAGACAGTAACCAACGACAACATCTAAAATACAGGTACATACAGAATGTGATGGCGTTAAACACGTTTGTATCCTTCCCAAACATGGGACAGTGGTGTAACAGCACATCATCTGAACAAACTGTAAAAATCAGTTGGAAAGGGCTTGACACATCAAATCGACACGAAGCATAATAAAAAAAAAACTGACAAAAAACAAAAGATATACAACACCTATCTAAAAGTAATCACAAATACTGAAAGCGAGTTCAAAGCCAATTACAACTAATAAATACATCATGATTCCCAGGCTAAAAATATCGATCAGTGCAGATCCTACAGATTTAGTGTAATGACGTCATAAACAATCTGGGAAAAGCGTGACCTTTTGCAATCCCAAAATATACTGATTTAAGACCATACGTATTCATAGCTGTATAGCTATAAATGTTTAGTTGTGATTTAAATCTTAGTACCCATCAAGGCAATAGTCAAAGATCTTTCTAAAGTGTAAAATTGACTACGTATTCAAAGGGTAAGTAAATTTACACGGATATTATATAAATGTAAGATCTCTATATTAAGATCCTCACTGTAAAGATCAGAATGTGATCTCCTGTTTGTAGTAAGGTTTTTACAGATGCAGCCAAACTTTGAAACTAAATATTGTTATCTATGAAAGAATTTAGTAAAGGTAAAGAAAGAAATTTCTGGAAAAAAAATTCCCGACTTAATCATTTACTTCATATACATAGATTATGTTCATTGAAACGAACTCATAACTACAAACAGAAACATAGCGAAAGAGTAAGGAAACATACACACCACTAGAACACACCCGCGACGTACTCAGTGGAACCGGAAACATACACACCACTAGAACACACCCGCGACGTACTCAGTGGAACCGGAAACTACTTGTAGACATATTTGTTTGGTCAATGAACGAATTTAGAAGTGTCAATCCCTGTATAATGACGAAGTTCAGGTGTGATTATGACCCGTGTATATAGCAAATCCCAAATACACCGTTTGGTGATGCGCCTGACAGAGGCGGAACGTACAGATTAGGTAACAGGTAACAGGTACTATTGGTATCGGTATCGGATTCGACCCGGAACTTGTTAATTATTGTTAATTTTAATTATGTGATAAACAAAAGGGCCTGGAATGGTGTAATTTTCAATCCACACCATTGTCCTATGTTAGTTATATTTAAAGTTGAATTCGTTGATTTCGTCGTTTTTACGTCATGTCGGGTAACAAATTGGACCTCGTTATTTTAGTAGTATAGATAAGAATGGGCCACAGGAACGTCACCTATCAAAACATGAAAATGAACAGTATGGAACGACAAATCTTTTGTCGTAAATTTGTATATGGTGTTTCACATGTAAAACTAAAATATCCTAATCTAGAAGGGGACAGTTGTTGCTTTTTAGTTTGGCCATAAACTGTAATTACTACCAACACAAGAACAAGTCTGCTATTTAAATAATACCTGAAGCAATACATATATGTACCATCTAAATAAATATTATTTTCGAAAAGTAAACAGAAGTTGTCAAGGAGAAAATTAACAGCATTTATAATCTCATCAAAGTTCCAGTAAGTATATGATTATCTAGCATATTTACCTTTTTCATTACAAAAGAGGGCTTTATATGAGCTGCAGCAAATAAAATTGTAATCAGTCCACATAATTGAATAAGAACACTTCTGTTTGATAATATTGTGTACAAGCGTAGTGTATAGAGTTGAAAAGTCATACACTGTAACTGTCAACCAAATGACATTAACAAGCACATCATTGATCTACATTTTGTAAAACATCCAAAGAAATTTTTATTCATCTATTGCTTTAATTTTATTGTATTGATTTATGTGAATAGTCCATGTACATTTTGTTCATTTCAAAACAATATCAGATCTATTGTCTTTACTGACTTCATATATTATATCCGTATATTACAGGTATGCCGATGTTGGTAAACATAAGTTTGACGTTACAACGTATAACAACTGTACACAAATGTGGTTTATGATTGTCGATTTTACTGATGTAGGTCGTGTTCGGAACCAGAATTGCTTTAAGATTCCAAATTTAGATGCGCCATTTTTCGTGTATTCGACTAAAGGCACACATGCGAACACTCCTGGAGGTATATTTCACTATTACTATATAACTACAGAACCACTTTTACTACTAATATGTAAACACTATATATGGCTTGGAAACAGACACAGAGGAAAATATATTTCCATGCTTTTATTTCTTTTCTGGTGTTTTTCCTTTTTCGTTTTGTGCGAACCTTACATTTTTTAAATGAATGCCCTCAGACGCTGTTTTAAAATTTGCAAATTCTACTTTATATTGCCTTTTCTTAATCAAATAAAACCTGTTTTACGTATTTTTCTTAAACCAATATTTTATTGCCTCTCAAATTTCACATTTAATATTTCTATGCACAATGCAGTCAGCACTTCGCGCTAACTTTTGTCATCGCTGTTCAAAGACAACTATTTATACGAACAATGAGAGAGAGAGAGAGAGAAAAAGAATTTGGTCACCACTATCAATTTCATATCAACGAAACAGAAATTTGAGCGCATTAACATATCATAATTTAAGAAAATTCGTAGAACAAGAATTCGAGAAATCATAATTGAAAATACAATTTTGGATCCTTTTGTGATATTTACGTGTGTTCTTATACATTTGTACTTTTATGTTTGCATATATCTAATTTGCTAATAAAACAACAATGTTGTATAGACAACACTATTCAAAAAATTAAAACATCGCCCTATTAACTAGTAGGAAAAAAAAATTTAAATTTGATTAGCTTTACAACCAATATTTCTGTAAAATCTGAATTTTTGTAGCTCCTCGACTTAAACATCCAGTGTTACAAAACTGCCGTTTTTCGGTTTTTTGGTCATCAAACTCTGTACTTTAGTTTTTGAAAACAGCTGAAACCCATTTAAAAAATGATTAATCAATCCATAAGATACCAGTGTTTTTATTCAAACTTATATCCCGTGTCCCAATCCGACAAACAGTATTGCCAACATCAACATAGATAGAACATCTATAAAAATGTCGGATATAAGGTAACTTAAGATCAAGTCTAAAAATAAAAATCTAAAAAGGGGTAGACTACTATAAAAATAAGAAGATATGGTATGATTGCCAATGAGACAACTCCCCACAAGAGACCAAATGACACAGAAATTATCAGCTATAGGTCACCGTACGGCCTTCAACAATGAGCAAAACCCATACCACATAGTCCGCTTATTTTGGAAAATGTTACATCTAAGATATTAACAATTAACAATAATTTTGATGCCGACTAAATTTACTTAAATAAAAGATCTGACAAAACAGGCAAATTAATATCATTACCTCCTTTATTGACATGATTATTTCATTTGACATAAAGTTTCTAGAGGCAAAGCCAAAATTGCAAAACAAGTAAAGCAAGAAGTGAATTAAGAATGTAAATAATTTGTGGAAAGTCCTTAACTATGCATAAGAAAATGAAATTATACAATTCGTATCGTGTTAGATTCTACACTAACTGAATCATGGTTAAACAGAAATATCAGAATATTACAGAAAAAGACCCATTTTGGTATTGTGTCAGAGCTTAAATATCATTAATATCAAAACCGCCTAGGCTCTAACATACAAGTCAACCTTTTCAAAATACCTATACAGTACCAAAACAGTAACATATCAATAGAACAGCCTTTCTTGCTACTATCCGTCACGACAGTCGATTGAATATCTTCAACAATGCACTGACAAACTGCATGCATTTTGAATTACAACTTCTAGCATAGACTCAAAGAGTGTTAATCAATATTCGGTACATGCTTGTTGGAAAGTACCAATGCGTTAAGTGTAAACAAATAAAATAAAATAACTAAATTAAATGATAAATAGCAGTTAGAACATACCGAACTAACAAAGTACTAGTAGAAAATATTTGAATGTAATATATCATGGTTCTTTTGCAGACGTTGATTTTGCTGATGTCTTAGTCATATATGGTGACGTAGAAACCTAAACATTCAGATCGATATTTTGCCAAGATAATCTAACTCGTTTTGGCACTTTAAGGTTGTCAATTTAACACTGTAAGAACATTTGTGAATATCGTTTTTTATATGTACAAACATTGGTTTTGTTAGCAATAAATAAATAAATACTAAATGTTATTGCTTTACACCTATGGATATTTACGGTCCTTTGTCGATACTTATATTTTCGCATTGCACAAGATCATGTTTTTCTCTGCCGGTTTATGACGTGTTTACACTAAATCCATTGGTTGTGTACTGATTGATATTTTAGTCTTGGATACATGATGTTTTTATGAGTTTTTATTGGATTTTAACTATCTTTTAGGGAAAAAAGTAAGATACATTTTCCCAGCTTTAAGTTGGCCTTTTGTGTATCCAAGGCAGGCGAAGGAAGTCAACTTAGGAGCGCTGTGATTTGGTGTAAGGGTATAATATATATATTTTTTTATTCATGAATAACTACAGTGTGTATATTCACAATATAAATTTTGAAACCCTTAGAAATATTTTCTTGAGAATTATTCGAAGAGACTTCCAAACTTTCATAAATTTGATGTAAAATGACGGTTGGCATGGATACCACAAACAATTTAAGCTCCGTTGGAAGATGGTTATGATACTATTTGACTTCAATTTCTAAAACAGAGTAATAAAGTATACAAAACTGTTTTTTCCAGGTTTTTATTATCAAAAGTAGTAAAATTTAGAAAATGTTAGTATTGTCGCCTATGGAAGAATAAATACTACCGTTTGTGTGATTTGTATCGATCCTTTTCAACTGATTTTTATATTTTGGAGCCTGTTATTTAGTTGTTGGTGTTTGTTACTGTATAGCAAACTTGTTTTTGTCTATTGTTTTTACATAAATGAGGCCGTTTGTTTTCTTGTTTGAATTGTTTTTACATTTCTCATATAGGGGCCTTGTATATCATGCTATATGGTATGTGTTTTGTTTATTGTTGAAGACCGTACGGTGACCAATAAAAGATAGATAGAAATATTAAATGGCAAAAATTGTCATAAAACAAGATCTACAAATAAGTCAAGAATTGTTAGTTGACTCTTTATTGGAGTTATTGTCCTTTAATGACGATTTTTACCAATTTTTTGCGTTTTTGCCAATTATTTTGAAAATTATAGAAACTATAAATAGCAAAAGTGATTAGCAAGACAAGATCTATACATATAAGTCAATATTGCTGAAATCGTCATTCAACTCTTCGTTGCCGTTAAATGACAATTCTTACCATTTTACGTGTTAAAAACTTTGCCTATTAGTTTGAAAACTATAGTAGATAAATAGAAACTTTAAAAAGCTAAAATGATCAGCAAAGCAAAATCTGCAAACAGGTAAAAAATTATTACACCAGGGTTTTCGATATCACAAACTTGTCAAAACATTTACTTAATTTTATCATCGGTATAAGGACATTTATTCGTAAATAGACATCTTATCTAAAAATACTACCATCGCTAACATTTTTAACAATAAAAATCGTGGTTACCCTTCTATCGATAAGTGTCATGCCAAAAAATGACTTACATGTCCCCGTCTTTCCACCAACAATACGGTAAGGTCCACGTTTAATGGTCGCACATTTTCTTTAAATTTTGAAACTGATATAACTTGAAAAACAAACAGTATAATTTATTTACTCACATGAAACAAACCGGGATGCGGTATTCAGTACGTAGGTGAAACTGGACGATATTTATCTAAACGCACTCAGGAACATCTGTATCGTTTTAAAAGACCCAATAAATTCAAAAGTATCATTTATCAACACCTTAAGAAGCACAATCATCCTATTAAATATTTAGCAGTTCAACCTTTAGAAGTAGTAAATAAGCAGCCTGGTGAATCTCATTCAAAGTTTGTACGATCGCGGAAAATAATTGAATTAAATTGGATTAAAAAATTACAGACAGTCTACCCTCTCGGTCTTAATGATAATATCATGGGAATTGGTAATATATCAAGAACCGATTCTGTTATCATTTTGGATATAGGTTCTAAAACTGTTCGTAAAAACCGTTCTCATGGTCGTAGAAAAAATCGCAATCAAAGAAAATTTCGGACCAATCATACCAATATTTCGGACCTAATTTCTATTTCAAAAAACAACGGCAGACATTATCTGTTAACAAAGCTCTGTTCATTACCGGTTAATAAGTTAAATAAAATTTTAGAGGATTGCAACACAATTTCATATAGCAGTCCTAAGTATGAAATCGTTCAAATTATAATGGCATATTGTTATTCTAAACTGTTTCCCAAAATTGATCGCCCTGAAGATCATAAAAAACAGTTTATTAAAATAAAGTATGTCAATAAAGGTTTTGATTTTGTAAATATTACCGGTATTTTTAACGACCATCCTGTTAAAGAACAAATTCCGGGATATTTTGATAATACTGAGCTCCCTCTTATTTGTTATATTTACAAGAAATCTACCCGGAAATTTGTGTTTAATTATAGCCAATTGTGTAAAGATGTTAATATCAGTGAAAATACACCTACTTCATGTAATTGCAGTAATTCCGAATACATTTATGGACCCATTTCCCATGTTATAACAGGAGATCTTAACATCGTTCAAGACCGAGAGTTAAAATCATTCCTCAGTAAAGGACCTAAATATCGTCCCCCGTCAATTATTAATTGGAATGAGTGTCGTGATATCATCCACGACTCACTCCATACTTACTGTTTGAAATGGATAAAACGGGAAAAAGCTGACAAAAAATCTTTGGACTCTTTTTTTAAATCAGTAATGAACATAGTTGATATACGTATTCAACATTTTAAAGAACATTTTACTCTTAACAATAACCACAATAAACCTATTTCTCGTATCAAACATAAACTAAAAGAACTAGCCAAGGAATTTGTTTTTGTCCCGGCCGATAAAGCTGCTAATAATATTATTATTGTTTGACGTAAATTTGACATTGAGGTTCTGAAAAAAGAAATCACTAATACACCAACATTCCAACTGACTCCATTTTCAGAAAACGACATCTGTAACAAACATAAACTTTTAGCTACCGCTTTACAAGCAGAACCAAATACAATGAAAGTCCCAACTATGTATTGGCTTCCGAAGCTACACAAAACACCTTACAAATATAGATTCATTTCGTCTTCAAGCCATTGTTCCACTATTAATTGTCTATTCTTCTTACCAGTACACTTGGTACAATCAAAAACCTGATAATAAATTGTTCAAATAAGGCCTTCGAAAATAGTGGAAATAATTACTTTTGGAGTGTCAAGAACTCGTTGGAAGTGCTTGATAAATTGCATGCATATATTGGTGATTTTGAATCTGTTCAAAGTTTTGATTTTTCTACCCTATATACCACATTGCCTCACATTCTCATTAAGAAAAAATTCACACACCTAATTAAATGGGCATTTAAAAAGTCAGAATGTGAATATATATGTTCAAACTCTTTTAGGTCATTTTTTAGTAGCAATAAACAAAAAAACTATGTCAATTGGACATGCTTTGATACTATATATGCCCTTGAATTTTTACTAGATAACATTTTTGTTCGATTTGGAGATTCCGTATATCGTCAGGTTATCGGAATTCCAATGGGGACTAACTGTGCACCACTTATTGCGGACCTTTTTTTGTATTGCTATGAGTTACAATTTATGACAAAAATCAGCAAAGAACCATCGAAACAACATCTGATACACAAATTTAATAATACTTTTAGATATTTGGATGATATTTTGGCTCTCAATAATGACGACTTCAGTATGTATACTTAAGAAATTTATCCTGTTGAACTTACTTTAAATAAAGCTAATACTAACAATGACCACTGCCCTTTCCTCGATCTTGATATCTATATCATTAACGGAAAGCTTAATACTAAAATATATGATAAAAGAGATGATTTTTCATTTCCTATCGTTAATTATCCATTTTTAGATGGTGACGTTCCCTTGTCACCATCTTGCGGTGTTTATATATCTCAACTTGTACGATTCGCTCGTGTATGTAACAATTTTTTAGATTTTAACGAGAGAAATCTATGTATTACTGAAAAATTATTACTCCAGGGTTTTCGATATCACAAACTAGTCAAAACATTTACTAAATGTTATCATCGGTATAAGGACATCATTCGTAAATATAGCTCAACATGCAGACTTCTTATACGTTCAGGTATTTCACATCCAATTTTTTATGGAAATATTCTTTATAAAGCACAAAAATGTCAGTATTTACCTCTGAAGCTAACAAAACCTTTAAATAGACTTATTAAGAAGGGATATAGTTACGATACTGTTGTCAGGTCATTAAAGATTGCATATTTTTGCGTTAATATTGATTCACTTATAGGGTCTTTGCATCGGCACTAAACACATTTATTTAAAAACCAGTTGTTGGCATGACACGGGTTATGTTCTTCTCATATATGTTATGATGGTATGATACTAAACCCCTTACGGGAAGGATTGTGCCTGATATTCATATGATGAAGACATAATCTTTCAATCAGTTTAATTGAAGTCTGGAGCTGGCATGTCAGTTAACTGCTAGTAGTCTGTTGTTATTTATGTATTATTGTCATTTTGTTTATTTTCTTCGGTTACATCTTCTGACATCAGACTCGGACTTCTCTTGAACTGAATTTTAACGTACGTATTGTTATGCGTTTACTTTTCTACATTGGCTAGAGGTATAGGGGGAGGGTTGAGATCTCATAAACATGTTTAACCCCGCCGCATTTTTGCGCCTGTCCCAAGTCAGGAGCCTCTAGCCTTTGTCAGTGTTGTATTATTTTTAATTTTAGTTTCTTGTGTACAATTTGGAGTTTAGTATGACGTTCATTATCACTGAACTAGTATATATATTTGTTTAGGGGCCAGCTGAAGGACGCCTCCGGGTGCGGGAATTTCTCGCTGCATTGAAGACCTGTTGGTGACCTTCTGCTGGTGTCTGTTCTATGGTCGGGTTGTTGTCTCTTTGACACATTCCCCATTTCCATTCTCAATTTTATCTTATACGTTCAAGTATTTCACATCCAATCTTTTACGGTAATATTATATACAAAGCACAAAAATGTCGTCATTCACCTCAAAATCTAACCAAACCTTTAAACTGACTT